CAGCACCTACGGACCTGCCAATCAATTTTGGCCCACCGACAATTGAAGAAATCAGCATGGCTATCAGACAAATCAAGAGTGGCAAAGCAGCATAACCGGGCAACATTCAATCAGAGGTAGTGAAAGTAAACGTAGCAGTAATTTCAAAGAGACTCCACATCCTCTTCAGTAAGACTTCGGAGGAAGAACAAGTAACAACAGACTGGAAAGGATACTTAATCAAAACACCAAAGAAAAGTGATCTCAGCAAATGTGAGAACTACAGAGAGATCACTCTTCCTTTAATACCAGGAAAATTCCACAATCGAGTGTTGTTAAACCGAATGAAACATTCAGCAGACGCCCAATTCCGAGACCAACGAGCAGGATTCCGTAAGGATCGATCGTGTAGCAACCGAATCGCGAGCGACACCACGGATCATTGTGGATCGATCAACTGAATGGAATTCACCACCCCACATCAACTTCATTGACCACGAGAAAGCATTTTATAGTGTGGACAGGACAACACGATGGACGCTTCTTCGACTGAGAAGATAGTCAACATCAAACGGAATTCTTTCGATGCATTAAACTGCATAATCGTGCATGGACGACAGATCACAGACTCGTTCGAGGTGAAGACTTGTGTCAGGCAAGGATGCTTACTCTCACCCTTTCTCTTTCTCCTGGTGGTCGTCTGCAATAAGAAGACGTCAGCATCTGAGTGGAGGCACGGGATACAATGGATGGCCAGGATGCAGCTGGACGATCTGGACTTCGCAGATGACCTGGCTCTTCCGTCCCAATACAACAACAAATGCAAATGAAGACGACCATTGTAGCAGCCGCCTCAGCAGTAACAGGTCTCAACAAACATAAAGAGAAAAGCAAGATTCTTTGATACAATACAACATGCGACAACCAAATAACTTTTGATGGAGATGCCTTCGAAGACCTTGACATATCTGGACAACATCACTGATGAGTAAAGTGGACCTGATACGGGTGTGAAGACGCGGATCGGCAAAGCAAGGGTAGCATTTCTACAACTGAAGAACATCTGCAACTCAAAATAACTCTCAACCAACACCAAAGTCACAATTTTCAATACAAATGTCAAGACAGTTCTACTGAATGGGGCGGAAACTTGGAGAACTACGAAAACTATCGTCCAGAGGATACAAGTGTTTATTAACAGTTGTCTACGCAAAATACTTCCAGTCTGTTGGCCAGACACTATCAGAATTAACCTATTGTGGGAAGGAACAAACTAGATTCCAGCGGAAGAAATCAGGGAGAAGCTAAAGAAGTCGATAAGACACAAACTGCGTAAAGCACCCAACTGTGTCACAAGACAAGCTCTCGCATGGAATTCTCAAGGCCAGAGAAGTGGAAGGTCAAGGAACACACTACGCCGAGAAATAGAGGAAGATACGATAAGAATGAATAAAAGTTGGACAGAACTGGAAAGGAAATCCCAAGACAAAGTAGGTTGGAGAACAACGGTGGGCGGCCCATACTCCATTGGGGTAATAGGAGTAAGTAGTCAATGATCGAATACTATTAGCTGATGAATAACCTTAATCCCTAGTGGCCATGGCCCACACACATAGTAGGATGGAGCAAACTGTGGCGTAGTTTTACGTATAGAGCACCTGGACCTCAAATGCACCTCAAACCCCTCTAGGATTATTGATGATCCCAGGAGCATGAAATGAAATTCAGGCACATGGTTAGCAACACCACCTAGCCAAAACGACAACCAATTAAACTGGAGCGTCATGCTGTATGTAGATGTCAGCCATGAATCTCCAAAATGAGGGTTTTAATTTTACGGTTCAACAACGTCTGTAACTCAAAACAACTGCCACCCATTACCGAAGTTAAAACTGACCTTAAGACATTTTAATTGCAAGAAACTAACACTTGGAGCACTACTTCAGTTATCTTTTAAAAATCATGCATTTGTAAACCGCTGTCTACGCAAGATGCTTTAGAGCCTTTAAGCTAAGACCACCACGGACGGAACAAGCTATCTGTCAGTTGAAGAGAAAATTAGGTTAGCAAGATACACTAAGCGGAAACCAACAAACTGCATCACAAGGCAAGTTGTGAATTGAAATCTCCAAGGTAAATGAGGAGAGACAAAAAACACATGGCGCCGGAAATTAGAAGGGTCCACGAAAACTGCCTGACAATAGGAAGGAGGAGCCGTCTGAGGTCTCCTGTTGAACGTTCTGTGATCTAAAACGGCTAACAAGCTTAGGTAGTGTGAATCCGACCATGTTAATTCCAACGTATATAACACTACTCGACTTAAAGCTCATTATATTAGCAGCAAAGAATGTACTCTCAATTTCATCGAATAGATGAATAATTCGTTACGTAGCTACACCAATATTTACTTCAACTTTAAACTAATGACACACTAATTTACTATATTGTGTACAAATCCCACATCAACAAGAATCAAAATAGCAGTAATACATCATTGGTGGAAGCAAGTATGGTTAAGCTCAGGTATTCTCAAACTACTTTAGGAATGTGCAAACCATAAAGATCCCCTCCCGTCAGTTTATACAAACTACTTCATATACACTCTGGAGGCAATGGCCGTTAAGCAACTCCTTGTCTTTGGTCTGTTAAATAAGCTCGACCTAGGTAAATCCATGGGACCCAATGGGATGTATTCTATATTACTTAAGGAATTAGCACATTTTACGGTAAGTCTCTGAAGTATATGTTTTAATGTGTTACCATGGGTAGATTACCAGAAAATATGGGAGAACGCCAAAGTCTTGTCTTCAAAACAGGTAAGAGAAACAAACGAGAAAACTATCGACCTGCAAACCTAACAAGCGGGATTGTTAAAATTCTAGAAATTATTTGGAAGTTGTTAAAGTATCTAGAATAAAACCGTGCCCATTTGAGAAGCAGTACGGATTTAGAACAGGTTAATCATTCCTCACAAACGTATTAGTAGCCCTTGAAAGTTATTGCACTCATAAAGACGTATATACGGAGCCTTTATGGACTTTAAGGTCTTCAACACTCTCTCATAACCGGCTCTTATATAAACGAAGTCAGGATCGGAAGCAACTTATTTCCTTGAATGAAGGACTTCCTAATCGGGTGTCAACAAAGGTTATAAGAAAGTTGTATAGCTGGGAAATTGTGCTTGGAGAAGTGTCCTAGGGAACAGTTTTGGGGCCAACGTTGTACCTCTTATATATGAATGACCATTCTGGTTTTCATTCTTTATCAGTGTTGTTACATATGGTGACATTACCACGATGCGGAGTGAGAGGCTCAAGATGACCTACAGAAATTATCTGAATGGATTAGAATCTGACAGTTGTTGATGGATGCTACCAAGTGCATTGTGATGCATATCGGTCACTATGATACAGATATATACACGGCGACTAACATTCAACTACCTATGATCCAGACACATTAATCTTAGTCATCATTTGCCAAAACTTGGAAATCACTGTAGTGCTGTGTAACAGCTGCCGAAGGTTTTTGAACCGTGTAGTCGATAATTAGTGCCTTGAGTAGTGTCAATGCTAAATTATTTTCAACTGTACATAGAGCTCGTTCTTCCCCATACAAACAGTCGTTCTTTGCCTAAAACAAGACAGTAAATTGTTGGAAAGGGTTCAAAGTGCAATAACTGAGTTGATTCACAGAACTGCAAAGCTGCTTTCTGAAATTAGTGTAGTGTGCTAACACGTCAAGCCCATACGGCTTGTCCCGGTCTTTGAACGAATCAAATAATCCACTCTTCTCGAGTTACGTCTCTCAACCTTGTCAATTATTCGCTCATAATCTTGGGTGCTTTACTTGAGTATGTGCTTTGCTTCTTACCTCTCTGGCACACTTTTGTCTGACGATAAACACTTCGTCATGCCTCGTCACATTGAGTCGGTTCACTCACCTTTGCTTCCCTTTTACGATTCAGTATATTGTCTGCTTACGTGAATGTACAAAATAAATTCATCTAAAATAAACCGCGTCTGACTTATAATCACCGCTGTCGCACAAACGAGGTCCGCCCTAGAATTATATACGTAAATTAGATGAAAGGTTTTTCTATGGCATATTCAACTGTTCGTAAAAATTGAAGTCAGATCCTAAGCCATAAAAATAGACTGGCCAAACTGAACATTTTCAATGTTGAAGGACCGAAGGAGACTTAATCAGTGTTTCGACTACTTAATGATGAACCTCCATCTGACATACGTTCATTTCTCTTGTCTTCCAAAACAACGTTTGAAAGGAAACTTGGAAAAAGTTTACGAGCGCAGAACAAATTACTTGTCCAGAGAATATAGACTTTTCCATCCAAATCATCGACGGATGTAACCCGTTACCTCAAGACGTGATGGGAACTCCGCCTGTCGACACATCCAAAGAAAACTTATCTCAACTGAGAGACCAACATTGCCAGAGGTAACACGGAGAACAGCGACCAGTCCTTTCAAAACCGAAACAGATTGATAAGGTGTTAAATCTTGTCTCCAAAAACTCACGAACAAATCAGTCGACGTAGTGTACTCAGCGAAATCAAAATTGTGCTTATGAGGGATAAGCAGCTGATCTGTTGAGGCAGTTTATTCGAGTAGTATGTAATAAAGACCTGAAATTACTAACTCTTGGGTTGCAAAATTAAACAATACATAATATAGACTGTGTGAAACAAAGACAAAAAATGAATGTCACACACTTTAGTGACACTTTGAAACTCGGATGGGGGCATTTGGAAGGTCTTTGCAAAAATGATTAAGAATTATTAGCGGCTCATCATGAGAAATTGTATTTATGACACTTTTAAGTATGTACAAGATTCTTAAGAATATCGTAAGTGATGAGTTCTAAAACAGATAACAGCTGGAACAACTGAATTCATCAAAACAAAAGTTGATTGGTTTTCGATAAAGTGCACTCAATTCTGAGAATTATAAGGTAGTAGGAAATATGTTTGCTGGGAAGGAGTCCTAACAACGAACCGCTGATCATTGCTTTTCTTGTTTGACTGATTCGTCACTTTGAGTGTCAGTCTTTGATCCTTGCTCACCTGCCATCTATTTTACATAATCAAATAATAACGAATAAGAGAACTTACCTTTCTGTAGGCAACTTCGAATAGCTTGAGGGATGCTTGCTGAAGTTCGCTGGTAGCTTCTCTAATACTTTCAGCAGTTTCATTATCTTTGTTACTCAACCGACTTTTCAACTTTTCAATAAGTACACCGAGTTTCTCTCTCTAAAGTGTGGAAAAATCACGTCGCTTATTAATATCACATTGGCAGAATGACTTCCACTACCGAGTATTAAAATGAATAGCAGTACGTGTTACCAAAGATTCTTTCTGGACATAAACATTCATACATGGAGATTCAACTAAAGGACACTAGGTCTGGTCGCACATTTGAATTTACTCACTACATGCTATATCTTACTGAAGAAATCTAAACAAATATAGTAGTTGGATTAGAAACTATTTTGCGTAAGATCTCCGCATACATCAGCCAGCTACAATGTAGAACTTCGTACGTACATCCATCACTTTAAGTTCCCATATCACATTTGGACCGAGAAGCAATCGTCAACTCAAACACCATAGTAGTAGAGGTAGTAAAGTATTAAAGATGACTGAGAATATTAGGGTTCAAAGATATTATTCAAGAAGCATAATCCAATGAAATAAATCAAAAAAGAGAAAAAGCGGTCATGAGGAATTCAAAAGATTAGGATTTGAGAAAACAGAGTGGATGCACCTGTGTCAATGCAAACGATTTTGAGCCATGTCACTCAAAGTCCCTAATTATCGGTTATGATCGTCTAGCATGGCCCTATCCAGGAAGTCCTTACAGTTTGCATAGTATCAGCTGCACTCTTCAAATGGCCTAACTGCCGAAGATGGAAATCCGTGAGGTAAAGTGAGGTGCGACTTTTAGGGTCCACCTTTTCTTCCTTTTGAGAATCGCTGCAGATGCTGTTTGTCCGAGGGAAACACGTTTCTGCTGTCACACCCCTCCGCAGTCAGCAGTACGACTCCGCCCTCATACCTTGAGTTGCTGCTATTAGTCTCATCGTTCTCCAACCTTCAGGAACATACGCTCCAGCCAATATAGCTTGGTTGGGTCATCGCAATAGGCTGGCACGACCACCAAATCAAGGTAGCAGCTACGGTCGGGCTTGCAAATACATGAGACATGGCGATTGTTTTGTACCAAGTTGCTACATTGTTCATTATTGAAGAGGGAATGCCAAGAAACAAAAATAGTACCCTGTTAAATAAATTTTGGCAGAAGTCATTGTATTTTGATAAGTTGGGCTGACAGGATATTATACCACGCTATATTTTATGGCTTGCGTGTGATTTAGAAATCCTAAGTAGATGGGAAAAGTAGGCAGTTATCCCAATAGAAGTTCAAGCTTTTACGCAAGGATTACTTAGATGCATGAAGGAAGATAACAAATGACCAACAATCAGAATACATCCGATTCTCACGTAACTGAGGGAGAAGAATCCCAAGTGGTGGAATCTATCTTCGTTAGCCTTATTTTTAAACCCTACCACCCATTTCGTTGCTCGTCTCTGCACTGGATCCAAGAGTTTCACATATCTTTGGAGGTAATGAAGTGCGACGACGTTGTGAGAAGCAGGGTGTGGGCGCGCATATATCTTAAATAACGTTAAGAATGATTGTGGGGTGATTGCACCAAGTTTTCTTCACATAAAGTCAAGAGTTTGAACTTGTGAGGTTTTCAGTGGTATTAAACTGGGATCCAATATCATTTTCACGCGTTAACATTCAAGTTATTTTCTTTGAACTCGGCTGCTTGCACAACTTAAACTATCTACGAACCCGACAAATTCGGGTCATCCTTTTAACCCATCTTTCAGGTGGATTGGTTTTGTAATATTCAGAGGAGGAATCATGTTGCTAAGTGACTTTCCTGTGAATTTATTTTCTATGTATTGTTAGTGATTTGATTCCAACTTAACATGAGCACTAACAATAACTTGATCGCATTCACTGATTATAGCACAGATCAGTGAGATGTTTGTGCGTAGATCTTTAAGGTAACTAGCGAGGACATCGTCATTAATAACTATTAAAATATTAGCTGAATATATTATGAATTCGACTTTTATTGCTTAGTACCATTAAGAACAGAGTTTCATGAGACGTACGTCTTGACTGGACAACATTTAATGTCGTTTTGAACTACATGATATGACGAGACAGAAGACTGAACCAGATAGGTGCATGAGTGCCGAAATAAAACTACATGAAATAAGCGTTTCTGATAATTTCGTGTACTATTCGGAAGAAATAAAAAAAACGGAGCTTCTTAAGATGGTTTTCAACACTGCCATCTGTACTCAACGGGCAGTAGTTTAAATGACAGTAAATAGTTCTACAATTGTAATAAATATACCCTGATTCTGTTTGAAACGAAATTCAGTTATGAAATATTTCGAAATGACAGTAAATTTGCAACTCAATGTTAAGACTGAAGTTCTGAAATTGACGTACCTCGTCTGCGGGCAACTGGTCCTTGTATTCATTAATTTTTGATTCTGTATCATGAACAATACCTTCTGCCTGATTTATTGATTCCACGAGTTCTCTACGCTTTTTGTCTACTTCTGCGTATTGCTCAGCATTGCGCACCATATTTTCAATCTCATCCTTACTCAAACCCCCACCGGAGCGTATGACAATCTGTTGTTCTTTACCAGTCCCCTTGTCACGTGCAGTTACATTGACAATTCCGTTGGCATCGATATCGAATGTGACCTCAATCTGAGGAACACCACGTGGTGCAGGAGGTATACCCACCTGTGAAGCAATAAATTTTTAAATTATTATCAGAGAAAGGTGGTAGAATGTTGTATAATAAAGTGATAATAAGTTGCCAGGAACTTACCAGGGAAAACTGTCCCAGTAATTTATTGTCACTTGCCATTTCACGTTCACCCTGATGTACTTTAATTTCAACCTGTGTTTGACCATCGGCAGCAGTTGAGAACACTTGTGACTTTTTCGTGGGAATAGTTGTATTCCGATTTATCAGCTTCGTCATAACACCACCCAAAGTTTCTATTCCAAGTGACAAAGGAGTAACATCAAGCAGTAGCACGTCCGTGACATCTCCAGCAAGGACTCCTCCTTGGATTGCCGCACCCATAGCTACAGCCTCGTCTGGATTGACACTTTTGCTAGGTGTCTTTCCAAATATTTTCTCAACCGTCTCTTGAACCTAATGGAAACTGTTTCAGTAGTGTATACACCTCACCTTGGGCATTCGGGTCATTCCGCCAACAAGTATAATTTCACCAACATCTGAAGCTTTCACCTCAGCATCTTTCAAGGCTTTGTTACATGGTTCGATTGTACGCTTGATTAGAGGTTCTACCAAGTGTTCAAATTTGGCTCGAGTTAATTTAAAATGCATATGCTTGGGGCCCGATTTGTCCATAGTTAAGTAGGGTAGGTTAATATCGGTTTGTAAAGAAGACGATAATTCAATTTTGGCCTTTTCTGCAGCTTCCTTGACACGTTGGAGCGCCATAGGGTCTTTCGTGACATCTATACCTTGCTACGAAAATAATCTTGGAAAAATTTATTACCTCTCTTTGAAACTCCTTGACCAAAAAGCGCAGTAGTTCATTATCGAAGTCCTCACCTCCTAAAAATGTATCCCCATTGGTGGACTTCACTTCGAAAACGCCTTTTTGAATTTCTAATACTGATATATCGAATGTACCACCTCCTAGATCATAGACCGCTATCCTGAACAGAAATTAAGTACAGCAACAAAGTTACGTTTTATCATCAGTTCGATCCAAACCGTAAGCTAAAGCTGCAGCCGTAGGTTCGTTAATGACACGCAAAACTTCCATTCCTGCTATTTTTCCGGCATCTTTTGTTGCCTAAAAGTACTTTAAGAGTGAGAAAAGGACAAAAACCTGTCGTTGGGAATCATTAAAATATGCTGGGACAGTGATCACAACATTTTTCACCTTCGAACCCAAATAACTCTCTGAGAACTGCGTGATTATGTGAACTAAGTAGCGTACCTGCAGTTTCCTTCATTTTGATCAATACAAATGCACCTATCTGGCTGGGTGAATAAGCTTTGCCATGAGCTTCAAGCCATGCGTCACCGTTAGAAGCTTTAATGATTTTAAATGAAGAGTTTTTTCTATCTTTTTGTACTTCCGGGTCGTCAAACCGTCTACCTATAAGACGCTTGGTTGCAGAAAACGTATTGGCTGAATTTGTAACAGCCTGTCTTTTAGCAGGTGCACCCACGAGCCTTTCTCCATCACTTGTAAATGCCACCACAGATGGAGTAGTGCGACAACCTTCACAATTTTCCAGAACCTTTGGTTGCTTCCCTTCCATAACCGCAACACAGGAGTTGGTTGTTCCAAGATCGATGCCAACAACATATCCCTTTGGACCAGATGAGTAGGAGCACAAAGGCTTTAAATTAAGAAACTAAACAGATATCCTAGAAAATTTGAATCAAATTACCTTATTAAAAACTCGCCTTGACAACAAATAATGAGACATCTTGGTCACACGAGAAAACTGTGATATCCAAGAAAGAGCGCGAAGCGTGACTTAACAACAAAGTAAAACAATGATGAATAACATCACAGAAATTTGTCTTGAAATGGGAAAGGTATTCGTTTTCACAAGTTTGAGCTATATAAATTGGTTAATAAACGTAACAAATGATGATTTTTAATTTTCATTTTGCCATGGATAGCGTTGTACAATAACTGGCTGGTTAATAGTAGTCATTTCATCACAAGAAGGCAACAAGATACAGGGTACAGTGACATAGATTACCCCTTTCTCCTTTCAGTCACGAAATCGGAAATAACAGGATTCACTGAGCATATTTGACAGTACTGACAAAAAATGTTTTCCTGATTCCTCGCATTCAGAACAAGTGATCCCTTTAATCAGTCATACATAGCTGCGCAAGTAAATATTAGCCTCTTCTGAGTGGCGTCCTCCGTTGTGCCCTCCCTACGTGACTTGATGAGAGCCCGCTTGAAGGTAACTGCAAAGCTCCCAACTTGAATGTATGACTAAAGATGACGGAATGGCAATCAGATTTGTATATCTGCACTTTTTTAAGCAGAACCCTGACGTTGCATTGATGGACGAAAATGGGAATGATCGCTCACAAACTCAAAAAACGATTGCACAGTGTTAAGGTCAGATGCCAGTGGAATTCGTATTATACATGCAATATTCTCTGGATCAGTGCGTCCTCCATGGCGATTGGTAGAAATCTCAGATACTGCAGTAAAATCGTGAAGAAGTTACATTTCTCTTGCTGTATTTTGAAGCCTTTGAGCAGTAAAAATTGAAAACTATGTCCAAACTAACTCCGCCCGTAGAACCTTCGGTGCTACTGCCAGTCTCAAGCCCGGATATAGGAGGAGAGTTTGGAATGTAGGTTGGAGACCCCATCCCACTAAAAGAACTAACTTACCGAAAAGAGCTAACCAGAAAAATGATTTAAACCATTTTGACTCTGCCCTGGGAGTTGGAAGAAGAAATATGACGTCTCGTGATGAAAGCCGAGTTTCGACGAAAGTCACGAGGCCAATGTCTCTTTTCACAACCACAGCAATCATTCTTTTAAGTACATAGAACGTTCGAACACTATGGCAGCTTGAAAGACTATTTCTAGTTGCAGCAGAAACGAAAAGATGCAACTTGGAGATGCTTGGAATCGGAGAAACGTGTTGTACAAGGGTAGGACGACTAAGACCAGCTTCAGGAGAAATGCTGTTATACTCTGGTAAAGAAAATGCATCAAATAAAGAGAGTGTTACACTGTTACTATCTATACAAACACAAAAAGCACTGATAGGATGGTAGTCTCATTGAAGCACCCTTCAAAACAAAGAGAGAGGACATTACAATAAACGTCATCCAATGCTATGAACTCACTAACGATTACAATGAAGACATTGAAGATCAATTCTACGAGAGGCTGTAGTCAATCGTCGACAGATGCTCATCGAAGTATTCGACCATTCTGGTGGGAGACATAATTGCCAAGTTGGAATTGAAAACACTGGATATGAAGACATCATGCGACGACATGGACTAGGAGAAGGGAACAAAAAGACTTGCAAACCTATCTGAACCTCAACAAACTCGTCCATAAGCTGCACCATTTTCCCACACAAGCGCATACATAAAGCCACATGGATTTCACCGGATCACACTACTGAGAACCAAATCGACCATATCTGTATCAACAAAAAGTTCAGAAGGATCATGGAGTATGTGATAACCAAGAGAGGGACTGACATAGCCTCACATGAAAGTGAGACTAAAGAAGCACTGAGTATCTAGACGTAAAAAATCACGAAGTTTAATACGGCCTTTCTTCGGGATACCGTAAAACTCAACGAATTCAAGCTAGCCCTCAGCAATAACTTCCAAGCCTTTCATCATCTACTCAATCGAGGGGATACTACCATGAAGAACAAACGGAAAAGGATCAAAGAAGCAATCACTTCAACATGCCATTAGGTTGTGGGTCACAAGAAGCACCATCACAATGAATCCATCTCTACTCATGCTCTAGATCGAATTCATGAAAGGAGGAACACGAAGGCAACAATCAACATCAGCCAAACAAAAGCGCAGAAACTCAAGGCACAAGCTGAATACACAGAAGCAAACAAGCAAGTGAAGAAGAGCATCAGAGCTGACAAACGAAAATATGTGGAAGATCTAGCAATGACGGTGGAAAGGCTGCAAAAGAAGTTAATACGAGACAATTGTACGAAACAATAAAGAAGCTTGCGAGAAACCATCGTAAACCAGAACGACCAGTGAAAAGCAAGGAAGGCAAAGTAACCAGTAACACTGAAGAACAGAGAAATGAATGGGTAGGGCACTTTGAAGAACTCTTGAATCGACCAGCTCCACTGAACACACCCAACATTCCGTAAGGATCGATCGTGTACCAACCGAATCGCGAGCGACACCACGGATCATTGTGGACCGATCAACTGAATGGAATTCACCACCCCACATCAACTTCATTGACCACGAGAAAGCATTTTATAGTGTGGACAGGAAAACACTATGGACACTTCTTCGACTGAGAAGATAGTCAACGTCAAACGGAATTCTTTTGATGCATTAAACTGCATAATCGTGCATGGACGACAGATCACCGACTCGTTCGAGGTGAAGACTTGTGTCAGGCAAGGATGCTTACTCTCACCCTTTCTCTTTCTCCTGGTGGTCGTCTGCAATAAGAAGACGTCAGCATCTGAGTGGAGGCACGGGATACAATGGATGGCTAGGATGCAGCTGGACGATCTGGACTTCGCAGATGACCTGGCTCTTCCGTCCCAATGCAACAACAAATGCAAATGAAGACGACCATTTAGGTGGCAGCCTCAGTATCAGTAGGTCTCAACAAACATAAAGAGAAAAGCAAGATTCTTTGATACAACACAACATGCGACAACCAAATAACTTTTGATGGAGATGCCTTCGAAGACCTTGACATATCTGGACAACATCACTGATGAGTAAAGTGGACCTGATACGGGTGTGAAGACGCGGATCGGCAAAGCAAGGGTAGCATTTCTACAACTGAAGAACATCTGCAACTCAAAATAAATCTCAACCAACACCAAAGTCACAATTTTCAATACAAATGTCAAGACAGTTCTACTGAATGGGGCGGAAACTTGGAGAACTACGAAAACTATCGTCCAGAGGATACAAGTGTTTATTAACAGTTGTCTACGCAAAATACTTCCAGTCTGTTGGCCAGACACTATCAGAATTAACCTACTGTGGGAAGGAACAAACTAGATTCCAGCGGAAGAAATCAGGGAGAAGCTAAAGAAGTCGATAAGACACAAACTGCGTAAAGCACCCAACTGTGTCACAAGACAAGCTCTCGCATGGAATTCTCAAGGCCAGAGAAGTGGAAGGCCAAGGAACACATTACGCCGAGAAATAGAGGAAGATACGATAAGAATGAATAAAAGTTGGACAGAACTGGAAAGGAAATCCCAAGACAAAGTAGGTTGGAGAACAATGATGGGCGGCCTATACTTCATTGGCGCTAACAGGCATATATAAGTAAGTAAGTCCAAACTGTCAGACTCTTCCGTAGCGGTGCTAAGCACATTAACTTAATCAATGCAAGCTGAGGTACTCGCGATATTTATGAGCATTTCACCCATAACTTGTTATAATACTGCTCAGTCTAACTCAATCCTAATTGGTTGCCAAGCATGGTGATAGAAGCCTTAGCGTGTACTAATGGCAATCAGTTCTCTGGGTGGTTCTTCTACTTCTTTTTGCAAATATGAATGAACTAGGCCAATCTTTGCAGAGAATCTGCTTCCGTTCAGTTGTGCGAAAACCTCATCAGACATAGGAAGTGGTTACTAGGGTGTGCTTCCAGGATATCATTTAGTCCACTTGAAGTATCAGCATATATTCAAACTGGATCATTACCCTTCTTTACTTTAAGGATTGGTGCTGCCCATGAGGAATAATTAACTCGTTCAAGAACAACCAATCGTTCTAGTTCTTTGTTCGCTAAAATGTGCTGCATGCGGCACTGGAAGTTTTGATCGAAAGATAACTATCGTATCCGATTTCAATTTGGTTTAGCTTAATATTGGTACGGTGACTGAGATCACTTTGAAAACTCCTTGAAAAATTCCTTTCCAGATTTTTTGTTGGTTATTATGAGAAACTCGATTACGGGTAAGATCAAACGTTCTAAAGCCTGTCATCCACTTATGACCCAAGAGAGTGAAAGACTTCCGTAACACATCCTGGATTTGATAATTAGATCATTATATATGACAATACATTGGATGATTCTGGATATCTGGCAGCTTACATAGGAGCATTTTCAATCCCTCTTGTCTTCGGGTATACCAGGCCAGTAAAATCGGTCTGCTGTCAGCACGATTGTTGCTTGGATACCTGATTGAGAAAGTATGGGCGAAATATTGGAGACATTAAGTCGATGATGCCTCAACATGGCTGGAAAATTACATTTGTGGATGTATTACAAACTGAAGGCCCGTTACCTACTCCCATTCGTCTGATTCGTGGCCTCAGGGTTGTTGATGATAACTCGTTCTTCTTTCTGAAACTGAGCGAGTTTAAGAAGGATGATTCCTCAGAAACGATTCAAGGTAGTTATATCAGACAAGACGTCTGAAACCACATTGTTCGCCCCAGAAATACGTCGCATTTCTGATTTCAACTACCAGCTGTCGTTCAGTTGTCTGGACTCACGAGGAAAATATTTGTCTGAGGATGAACCGAGCAAAAAACAGTAGAATTTTATGGTCTGTGAAAAGAATGTATTTTCGGTCTTTCATGGAGTGTTCAAATTGTCGCAAAGCATCACACATAGCTGAGTCCTCTACCGAACTTACTATATCCAGATTCAACATCCAATAAGTGTCTCAAGAAGAACGCTGAAGACCTCTATACATTCTTTGCCCCTTACATTAAGACTCCTCCAACTACTGAGTTGAATGAGT